CGATATATATATATATATATATATATATATATATATATATATATATGTATATACACCTATGTGAGAATAGCATCAGCATTTTCAGCGGGCGGCACTCCATAGTCACGATGATTCATGTCAGGCATTTCGCACAACGAATTATCTTCACTGAATACTTGGGTACGTATCTCTCCTGCCAGCAATATTCCCCTCGATAGCCGATCATGCCACGATGGTCGCATAGCATCTCACACACACCGCATCCTTTCTTTCCGTTCCCTCCCTCCCGAACACTCTTTCATTCTCCTTATTCAACATCCGCCGTCGGGGCTCGCTTATCGTCTCTGGCTTCTTCTACAAGCCTCTACGGAATTAAGCCACCTCTCAAGAGGACAACCCCGATCGCCTTCTGAGAACGCGGGTGCATGGCTGGATCTTCTGTTGCCCATCGCTCGCTTGCTCGTTGACGTGTAGCGGGAGTGGTTGATTATGCATTGTTATGCAGCTCGCTTGCATGATCTAGAATCGGGGGTGAAAGGAGACGATCTTGGATGCTAGTGGCTTGAGCAACTTGTCCTGCAGCTGCAAAGACGGTACGTGTTGTCTAGAATGGGGGAGTCGAAGCGGCTGGCAATACATGTCGAACGTATAATTTCGCAAGGGATCTTACCAGGACTTAAACCGATCAACCTACTACGTACTACTACATATGAGGATTTATTCAGCCTTAAGAAGTATCTTGAACCAGTATTTAGTCTGTGCAATGGAGTTGACGAGGCTTTAAGGCATTCAGAGATCACCGCTCTACGATTTATGGAGCTAAACTGGGTCCGACATTTATTCATGGGGAGGAAGATAGTAAACCTGCGAAGCATCTACCGGTAGCGCAATACGCTCGCTAACTGGCCTCACTTCGGTCTGAACCCTCATCCAACCAATCTACCCACTCTGCTTGAGCCCGTACATCGTACATGTATTTGTCTTGATTCCTGCTTGCTACAGGAATAACCAAGAGGCTTTAATGGGATTATCAGGCGGTTGATATTGGGCTGCTATCGTTTACTCTATGCCATGCTTGTCGCTGGATATCCTGCGGTCCAGTTATATATCACAGGGAGTGATGTACGAGTACGGTATGATGCTGGCAATAAGAGGAGCAAGTTATCAAGCAATGACAAGCATGCTCAGTGGAGCAGAGAACAATAGTGCCCCGCATGGCTTTCCTTGTTTGCTTCCTTTGGTCTTTCTTTCCCTCTTTTCATTTTTCTCCTGCGTTTTGCAACACTGTTGCATATTTACGTTTGCGTTTACGTTTGTGTTTGTGTTTGTGTCTGTGCATTTGTGTGTTTGTGTGTTTGTGTGTTTGTTTTTGTTTTTGTTTGCGACTCCGAGCGAAGTGAAGTGATTGGTTCTTGGGAACGGGTGTGTGCAGCATTTGGGACTTCGAGAGATGCCAGGAGAAAGCGCAAGGAGTTGAAAGATTGGAGATTGGTTGGATCCCGGCACCTGGGCCGGGTGTTCGGCCATAAATCACGAGAAGGAAAGGAGAGGAAGTTCCGTATTCCGATGACTGGGGATAAAACGGAGATCGGCAGACCAGACTCATCAAGAGGAACAGGCGGTGATGTTCAAGGCCATGATGCGAGTGGTGGGGGCGCAATTGAGCGCTGGATCGTCGGGTATTTCATTTGGGAGAAGCTCTGTGCAGGCGAGATGTGAATCGAGGAACGGCAATCGGAAGTTTGGCTCGTCCAGAGAATTGCTGTCGGCAAGGAGCTCCTCGTCATCGCAACTGGTAGAGCTAGCTGCAACCATTGCTCGAGAAACAGCCAAGCTTGACGCATACATGCAAGCCAGCGGGCTCCCTACCCCATCCTTCGATGTGAATGGACCACTGAACTTCCCGAGATTAAATGATGAGATGCAAAAGGCGAGAGAGGAGGTCATAAAAGCCGCAAAGGAACTCGGAGATTTGATGACCGGGCCGACGGAGACCGTGAGGTGGATGGCGTGGGATGTGAGTCCTCGCTTCTCGTGGGAGAGAGGCTGGTAAACAACAAGTACTGATATTGGATGACAGCATAATAATTCACTGAGTTTACATGCAATATACCATTACAAGATTGGTGAGTTCTAGAGCAGCTCTCCCCAAATTTTGACATACGGGCTTAGCTAACGGACCCAGCACAATCATTTCCTGTTGACAAGACTGCCACCTTCTCTCAGATAGCCGAGAAAGTCGGCCTGGGGGAACTCAATGTTCGGAGATTCTTGCGCCATGCGATGACGAACCGGATATTCGAGGAGGCTGCTCCTGGCGTCGTGGCTCATACTGCTGCTAGCCGTGTTCTTGCTGAGGATAGGATGATGAAGTGAGTGATCCCGAATCATTTTTTGCTTTTTTCGGCTATTCGAGGAAAGGTTTCAGACACACCAATAAGCAAGCTTCAAAACTTGCTTCGCGGCCTTTCTCTCCCAACACTTCCCCCCTTGTGATTCAAGTCGTCAGAAGCTAACCCTCTCTCGCAGCGACTGGGTAGGTTTCTGCGTCGAAGACATGTGGCCCGCAGCATCACAGACTGTCCCTGCTCTAAAACGCAACCCCTCTGCCGACGACATGACCCAGACCGGCTTCTGTCTCGCCAACAACACGACAGACCTGGAACCCATGTTCACCACCCTCGGCAAGTCCCCCCAGCGCGCACGACGCATGGGCGGCGCCATGCTCTCTCTCACCGGCGGAGAAGGCTACGAGCTCTCCCACCTCCTCGCCAGCTACGACTGGGCCACCCTCGACGCTCGCAGCGCGCAAATCGTCGACGTCGGCGGCTCCCACGGCTTCGCATGTGTCGCGCTCGCCGAGCGCTTCCCGAACCTGACGTTCGTCGTCCAGGACCTGCCGCAAACCATAGCGTCCGCGCCCGCGCTCGCGGGAGATCTGGCAGCGAGGATCCAGTTCCAGGCCCACGATTTCACCCAGCCGCAACCCGTGAGAGGCGCGGACGTCTACCTCTACCGCTGGATCCTGCATAACCACTCGGATAAGTATGCTGTCAATATGCTGCGCCAGCTCATCCCCGCGCTGAAGAACGGCGCCAGGGTGGTGATTAACGACCACTGCCTGCCGGAGCCCGGGACCGAGAGCGCAAGGGACGAGAAGATCATGCGGACGATGGATTTGGTGATGCTGACGTTGCTGAACGCGCAGGAGAGGACGGAGGGGGAGTTTAGAGAGTTGTTTGCGAAGACGGATCACAGGTTTAGGTTTTTGGGGGCGCGCAGGGCTGAGGGGTGTCGAATGAGTGTTGTAGATGCTGTTTGGGAGGGGGCGGACTTTGGTGGGGAGGGGAAGGAATGATGTTGATTGGGTAATTCGTTGTTGGGAGGAGGATATGACTGAAGTGTAGATCTTGCTTGAATTGGTGTGGTAACATGGAGTTAGGTGCGGTCCCTTGTACGTAGATTATGATTTTGTTAGTTGGAAACCAGTTGGAAACTAAATAAGTTGAATAGCACAGCCGGACAGTCCCAAGCTATAAGTACGTCGATCCATGTGAACGGATCCACGTATGTCTATTATCCTCACATCTTCCAATACTCGGGACTTCCGGCCCCTTCTTGATCGCATCTTTGCTATTCGGCAAACATTGACGTTATCTGTGTCCAAGAGCCGTACACGCACTCGGGCACCAAAACCTAGAACCACTCGTCTTACGAATGCTATGCTTTGATAGAATCGTAAGATAGTCAAGACGATGCTCAGTACCTCGCTGAGCGATTACGAGTGATGACTTACGTACGCAAAAGCGTAAGTCTTCGCACTTAGCAACGCCGTTCTATTCGCAACAAAGATCTTTTATAAGTCGATGTGAACGGCTTCGCCACTTTAAACGTCTATCGGCAACCTTTGATAGATCTGATTATAAACTATATCACTTACCTCGTCTTTCTTTTTAAGTGCTTAATTAAAGAGGACTTTAATATGTGGCACGATATGTTCGAACTAAAGGTTGAGCTTAAAAGTCGAAGAAGAGACCTTGCGGCTTGGTTTAATGCTAATAAGATAGATTACATTGGACTTTCGAGCGACTTTACTTATAAAGCTAGTCACGTTCTAGACTTGACCTTTTCAAATATTCCGTTTGCTCAAACGACAATTCGCTTCGATCTCTATTCGGGCTTAGACCACGAAACTTAAGTTACGACTATCTTTAGCCGAGAAGTCGTTCTTTTAAAGCGCTTTCAATATCGAGTACCGGATCAAGACCTCGAGAAATTCGCTTCGCTTGTAGCGCTAAGCGTAAACTAACTTCTTAACTCGTGGACGATATATTCTATTAAAGAACTTGATTAGCTTGCGATCAGTTTAGCCGCTGCTTTCAATTTTGCTTTAAAAGTTGCGAAATAGCTTGCTCGGGAAAGGCTAACGGCTGCATTATAATAGACGGCAGACTATTAGACAGCGTATAAAAAATATTTAATAGCGCGCTTTATAATATACGACGAAGAACCGACTTAAGAAACGCGAGACTAGCTCGCTACAATCAAGAAAGCTAAAAGGGCTTATTAGACTTACGTGATCGACGAAATGAAATCGGACTAAGACTTGTACAAGGTTATGAGCTAGCATAAGCTTATTTTGTGACGACACGCCAGGTCTCCTGGACGCACCTCACATGCGCCAAGCTACTTCCCTCCTTTTTTCCTTCGTATTCTTCGTATTCCCTTATTCCTCGCTTTTGACCTATGAACCATGGTTCACGAGTCCTTGGCGCTTCTACCTTCGTGTATATAGACCTCAGCTACCTTCGACCTTTACACTCGGTAGTTGTTGATTTTAAGTCATTACTTTAAGATTCTCTTGAGCTCTTATGTGAACCCCCGCGCTCCCGTGAGTTCCTTCAGGTAATCGCTTAAGGTCGTCACACATTTCGAACTTGAAATCGCTCTTTCTAATAATTAACGACGAAGCTATTAAAGATATTAAAGAAAAAGCGAACGCGCTGCAAGAAAGCATCCTTAAACGGTTTAGCGCCGCCGACGACCTCGATTACGATCTACTCGCTAGCTAAGAAAGCATTAGCCGGCTTTTTTAAAATACTACGGTGTTATTAAAAGAAGTGGAATCTTACGTGATCGAAGTGATAAGCATTTTATTCGAAACGGACAAGATCACCGTACGATTGCTTAAAGTATGCTAGCAATACGTTTATCATTTCTTTTATAGCTTCTTTAATAAATGCTTAGCTTTTTATTATTTCTTAAATGCGTAAAAGCTCGTTAAAGTCTCGATGATCTAGGCTGCTCCATGGGGCCCCATGGGGCCCCACGGAGTTTTGAGTCCTTCCCACGGGGGAACCCACGGGGGGTACAAAATTCTGCCCCTCCTTATAAGGAAACCCTATAGGGCGTGGGGTTACTCTATAGGGTTTATATACATAAAAATATGCATATGCATAATTACTAATCAGGTTTACTAATCACATTTACTAATCACATTTACTAATCACATTTACTAATCATATTTACTAATCATATTTACTAATCACATTTACTAATCAAAGACTCAAAGTATTAGTCAAATTTACTAGTTACAAAGGCCCAAGGGTTAGTAAAGACCCGTTCTTTAGCCTAAGTCTACTAGTTACAAAGAATTGATAAAGACCCGTCCTTTTGCAATTACGTAAAATACGTTCAACTCGATCTCCGCTTTTGGCCCAAGCTCTTGCTTATAAGCATAGTTCAGATAAATCTCGTCTGACTTAAGTAGCTCTCCTAGCTTTTAGCACTTGTTGCTCTACTTAAACTCATTTTCATCCGAGAACTTAAAGGTAAGGCGTTTGTATACTAAGGTGCCATCGATAGTAAAAGGGTATAGCATCAATAGCTCTTTCAAAATGCTTTTAGCTTCGGCATGATCGCTATCGAAAAGCTTAAGAATAAAATCACCTAAGATCAATCGAACCTTAACATCCTCATAAGTGAATTGCTTTCTAATTGCGTTGAAGAAAAAGACAAAGTAGTCGAGGAGACAAAAGACCTGAGCGCTCTCCTTCTAAATAAAAAATCAATCAGTGATCATAAAATATAGATGTTATTACTAACCTTGTTAGCACCGTAATGCTTGATGCCGAACTCGTCGATAAAACCTTTGCGACCCTTCCATTCGTACTCGAGGCCGATTGATCTTGAAAACAAAGCGGTATCCTCCCTGTCATAGCAAGTAAACATTAAATTAACAACGCTACCATCAGCATAAACGACTACGAAATCCTTATAGCGACCAGGTATCTCGTTGATTAGCTTGTTGCCACTAATGCTAAAAGGGTTGACCTCGACCATAGCGTTATAAAAAAGGGGAATCGACATTGCTAAATAAAGAAAATAATTAGCTTAAAGCAAAGAATCAAAAAGCAAGAAATCAAAAAGCAAAGAATCAAAAAGCAAAGAATCAAAAGGAAAATAATTACCCAAGTTGAATATGGTTATAGTTAAGTGTTGAGGTTGGTTAAGAAGTTGAAGTTAAGTGTTAAGGTTGAGAAGTTGAAGTTGAGTGTTAAGGTTAAGGTTAAGAAGTTAAGTGTTAAAGTTGAGGTTGAGAAGTTAAGTATTGAAGTGATAATGAAAAAAAGAAAAGGAAAAAGAAAAGGAGCGAGTACTTATATAAAAATAAAAGTGTAACCTAATCGTAATCGGGGCATTGCTTCGATTCATCAAAGGTGAATTATAATATTTGAAATAATGAATCGACGCGGAACAAAGAAAATAACGCGTTTTGAAACAATGAATCGACGCGGAACAAAGAAAATAACGCGTCGCTTAATAATAATCGATGCAATGCCTCGATTCAACAAAAGTGAATTACAATATTTAAAACACGAACTCGAC